TCATTCACGTCGACCTTCGCGACGCGTTTGTCATTCGGTGTCTCGACTACGTAGACGGAGGGCGAGAGAACTTTTAACACCTTCACCGGGCCCTCGTAACGCGAACCAAGCTTTTTGTTGAAGCCGTCCGCGCCGACTGATAAGTGATGCGTGCGTCGCATCACGATGTCGCCCTCTGCGAACCGAACGTCTTTGCGACCGCGATTGTAGTGGCGAGCTTGTCTCGCATGCGCTTTATCCAAGTGAAGCTTCACGAGATCGCGAATCGCATCGAGTCGCGAAATGCGTTCGAGCCACACAGTTTCGTCGACCTCCCAGTATTCGACGGCTGGGGTTTCTACCTCGCGACGCAAACTCTTCACGGGTCGCGGATGTCGTCCGTAGTTGAGAAACGCGGGCGATACACGGGTCGAGGATTGTACCGCAGTGTTTATCGCGTGGCGCAGCTCGTGTAAGTGCTTGTCCCAGTCCCTATGGTTCGCACCTACATACGCGGCGATCATCGTTTTCAACGTGCGATTGGCCCTCTCGGTAGGGTTCATTCGCGGGGTATACGGAGCGGTCGTAACTTGTCGTATGCCGTAGGCATCGAGGACAGCGGTTACATCTTTATTCACCTGCTCCTTGCCGTTATCGCATATAAGGAAATCGGGCGTTTCCCAGCGGAAAAGCACGAGTTCCTCGAGCGCGCTTGCGACTGCTTTCCCTGTGGCGCGTCGCACGGGCTTGAGTTCCACCCAGCGAGTGAATAAATCGACAAATACGATTAGATATTTATTTTGACTCTTGCTGAGTGGGAACTCCATTAAGTCGCAAGCGATTACGGCCCACGGCCGCTCGATAACTCGACGCCCCATAAGTCCACGCGGACCCGTCTGATCAATCTTATAGCGTTGGCATGTATCACATGCGCGGACGTATTCGTATACGTCGTGATACATACCACGCCAATAATACTCGCGCTTGACATGATCAAAGGTCTTCTCGACACCCAGATGACCAGCGCTCGTGATATCGTGAGCGTCATGCATGACCCTTTCCCTCTGCGCAGGCGGTACAACTAATTTCCAACCCTCCTCGCAATCGGTGATAGGGTCGAGCAGCGGGTCATAGCGGTAATGATACAGATTACCGCCTTCGACTCGCCAGTTTTGCCAGCGCTGAGGATTCTGCGTGACATCTTGCACGAGTCGCTGATGTTCTTCGTCAATCTCCTCGCTTACACCTGCGACGCATACTTCGTCGTTGGCTTCGTATGCGCGCGATAAGGCATCTGGCAACTCGTGCAGTTTGCCACGCCGGTGTACTATTTCGAACTCCCATTGTTGCATCTCCAAGGCCCATCGGGCGAGACGGCCCGTCGGGTCCTTGAGATTGCGCAGATATTGAAGCGCGCTGTGATCTGTCACGGCGATAAATTTGTACCCCTCCAAGTACGGACGAAGCTTGCGTATCGTCCAGAGGAGCGCGAGACACTCCTTCTCGCTGGTCGTATAGTTGCGCTCCGCTGATGTAAGTACGCGACTCACGTATACGATCGGGTGCTCGCCGTCGTCGAACACCTGCGAAAGCACGCCGCCGATCGCAAACGCAGACGCGTCGCACTGGACGATAAACGGCCTCGTAAAGTCTGGTCGTGCGAGCACGGGCGCTTCCGTCAAAGCTTTCTTCAGCGCTTCGAAAGCTCGTTGCTGTTCATCTGCCCAAATCCATTCTGCGTTCTTTTTCGCTTGAGAAGAGGCAAATTCATCTCCGCATCGTTCGGTATGAACCTGGCGTACCAGCCAAGCATACCTAAGAAGCGTCGCAAGCTCTTCAAGTCGGTAGGCGCCGGATAATTCATCACCGGTGCGACTTTGTCTTCGTCGACGCGCAGGCCATCTCCGTCGAGTACGTACCCTAAGTACTTCACGCTCGACCGGCAGAATTCGCACTTCTTGCGATTGATGGTCAGACCCGCGTCGTTCAAACGCCCAAGTACTTTTTCGAGCCACACGAGATGCTGCTCGAACGTTTCGGTAACGATGACGATATCGTCAAGGTACCCGAAAACGTACGGCTCGCATTCGGGGCCAAACAAAGCGTCAATTAGTCGCTGAAATGTCATTGGCGCATTGGTGAGGCCAAAAGCGAGGCGCGTGAACTGGAACAGTCTGGCTCCAGGTACCGCAAATGCCGTGTACTTTTTGCTTGACTCTTTCATGGCAATTTGAAAGTACGCAGATTTCAAGTCGATGGTGGTGATATATTTTGCGTGACGCAGCTTGTCGAGTATCGCGTCGATGTTCTGTACTGGGTACGCATCCTTTTTCGTCATCTTGTTAAGATCGCGATAGTCAATGCAAAATCGATTGCTGCCATCGGCTTTCTTAACAATGACAGGAGCGCTGCTCCACGCCGACGCTGACGGTTCGATGACGCCTTCGGCTAACATCTTTTTCACTTCATCGTGCGCCACTTGTAGCATTGGCGGTGACATGCGTCGCATCTTATGTTTAATTGGACTTGCGCCCTGCACGTCGATGTGATGTTCCGTCAAGCGTGTGAGACCTAGAGCGCCAGGCTCCGCTGTCATCATACGGTCGACAACAACGCGGATTGCGGCCTCTTGCTCCGGTGTTATTTCGGACAAACCTGCACATTCGAACGTTTCTGCCTCGCTATCTTCGTGCTCTCCAAGCACTCGGTCGAGCAGAGCTTTTAGGCAAGCTTGCTCGGAAGCGGAGGTTATTGCGAGACTCGCACACTCTACCAGAATGTCCGCCTCGCTGTTCGTATCTTCCCTGTAGAACGGCAGCCAAGGGCCTTTGTGTACACGCCATTCGCCTTCGACGGTTTGCGTGTCCACCGCCCAGAGGTTCTTGAAGTCCGCTCCAAGGATGATGTCGTGGTCCAAATAACTCATTGCTCTCCATTGCATGCGCTCGGTCTTACCATTAATGTGTACTTGCACGTCGAGGCGACCTAGCGTCGTGATTACTCCTGGCGAGCATGGGCCTTTCACTGCAGTCGCGCGACCTTGTAGTCGATTTGCGAGCTTTCGTGCAATTTTCGGCCCGATGAAACTTGATTGTGCGCCGGGGTCGTACAGAGCTTTGTACCGTTTCCCGTTTAACTGCACACAAATGTAGTCTCCATTCTCCGAAGCTAGCGCTGCACACTCGTCGTCGCTCGCTTCGAATTTCAAAATTTCCCCCTCTGGACTCGACTGCACAAGTGGAGTGGTCCTTCGGGGGACGCGTGAGATCGCACCTTCGACTCTCGCGCTCACATGCGAAGACTCTTCACATGTTTCCCCCCCTCCCTTAAACGACGCGTGTGCGCTCGAGCTTTCGCGTCGCTCAAGTTTTGGCCGCTCCAGCAGCAAGGTATCGATTGCTTTATCGATTCTATTGAGCTGTGCCTTGTCGATTTTAGCTTCTTGGCAATACTTCTCATGCTCGCGTTCGCTCGCGCGATGCATGAGCTTCGGTATGCCTTCCTCAGAAGCTAATGTACCTTCCTTCCACTGTCCATTGCTGCAGCCTTCACTTGGTGTCAGCGGCAGCGCTGGAAATCGTCTGACCTCGTCATACTTCATCTTCTCTATCTTCGGTGTATCGGCACGGCCTTCGCTTGGCGTCAGCGGCGCCGCTACAAAATCTTCTGTCTTCTCTTTTCTTGGCTCCTTCTTCTTCGTATCATTGCGGCCTTCGCTGGGCGTCAGCGGCGCCGGTACGACTGCGATGTTATCACCTGTCTTCTTCACAGCATCGTTGCAGCCTTCGCTTAGCGTCAGCGGCGCAGTTGCAGCTATTTTACCGTTGCTCAACGCTTGCGATGATGATTTTGGGGTCGTTCGACGATCACAGGCGTTGCGCTCTTCAACTCCTCCTCTGTCTTCGCCGCTACGGCCTTCGCGTGGCGTCAGCGGTAATGGCGGAGAAATACTGCCCTGATGGGTCATTTGTCCTAGTTCGCGTTCTACTGCGGGGCCGGCAGAGGACTGTCCTGCCTCCCCGCATTCGCGTTTCCCCAGGCCTGTCTGAACGGAGTGCACCGCTCGCAGTTGCGGAACTCGACGTTCGGTGTTCCGCAGACTTGGCATGCCGTTTGCGGTGCTTTAGTGCACTGAGGTGCTAGGTGACCGTTCTCGTTGCAGCGGTAGCAGCGACGCTGCGGGCATTTGCTGGCGCGATGTCCTGTTTCACTGCATGTGAAGCACGCGCCAACGAAGCGCGCGTTGTTACCACGGGCTTCGCCGTTGGCGACATTTGTCGTTGCCTGCTGCTGTTGGCCAGGATTCGCCGCTTGCGCTGGTGTGTTTTGCACCGCCGCGACGCTTTCCTTAGTCGTACCTTTCTTCTTCTTGGGCGTACGCTTTTTCTTGGTTTTACTCTGGCGTATGTCCTTCGCCACGGAGCTCTCCTCTTCAACTTCCGACACAGCAGCGATTTTCTGCGTCTGGCGGGACGATTTAGCTGGCAACGGCAAGATCGTTTCGCTTTCGTTGCGCTTGGAGTTCTTGCTGATCGCCAAGGCATCTTCATAACGCTCTCCGGCCTTTTGGATTTTCTTCAGCGATTTTGGCATACGGTTGCACAACGCGCTGCGGTAATCTGGGCGTATGTTGTTCCATACAATCCTTACCTGCTCGCGGCGTGACAGCTTCTCCGTCAGATGCGTGAGGTAGAAGTTGAAATACATGATGAAGGTCATAATCGATTCATCTTCGCCCTGCTTGCGATTGCGCAGCTCGTGCAGTAACTTAAACTCGCCGAGCTTACCTATGAACATCTTTCGGAAGGAGCTTTCAAAGCGTTCCCACGTCTTGAAGGTCGGTCGTGCGGCACGGTACCACAGGTCTGCTTCGCCGCTCAGCGTAGCATGTACCGTGTCGATCAAACGCTGATCGTCCACCTTGGAGCCGGCGCGACACTTGGCCAATCGCGTGATGAACATATCGGCCTTCGCGCGATCTCCTCCAGCGAAACTTATCTTCCAATTCTGTAATCTCTTCATCATTCGGTCGTCGGTCTTTCCCGGAACGCTCGTCTTGGTCGAGCTGTTCTTCTCTTCTTCGTCGCCGTTTTCCTCTTGCGATGGCGCTTGCCTTTTCGGTGATGGCGGCTTGCGTCGCTGTCGCTTGACGAGTCGTCGCTCGACGAGCTTTCGCTGGATGAGCTTTCGCTGGACGAGCTCTCATCTGACGATGAAGAGCACGACGTCGATGACGAAGATGAAGACGAAGACGAAGCTCTCCTTTTCTTGTGCTTCTTTACTTTGGTTCTCTTGTGCGAGGTTTGCACGACCTCATCTCCTGAGGATGAAGAGGAGGACGTGCCTCGCTTCTTGCGTCTCTTAGTCTTTTCACTTTTGCGAGAGGCGCGAGATTTTCCTCCGTCAGACGATGATGGCGACGGTGATGTCGAGCGCTTGCGACTATGCGTGTTACTTTCTCCGGACGATGACGACGCTTCCACAACCGACTCCCTTTTCTTCGAGGTTTTCTTTACCTTGCTGATCTCGGTACGTTTGAGCGTCGTATCGCCGCCGCATAGCGCTTCATCGTCTTTTGGCCGATGCTCCTTTGCTACCTGTGTCTTGCTGAGCGACGTACTCACGGCAGGGTGTTCGTCCACATGCGGTGTTATATCGCGCAACGGATGGTGAGAGCTCGACTCTCTCGGAAACGAAGGTGCTCGCGACGTATCCGAGTCGCTCTTGCCGCTATTGTGTCGCGAGCTGTGCGATGAACGGCGCGACGCGTTGGACGATGTTCGGGGAACCAACTCGTTGTCGAGGCGCATATTAATCGCGAGCAATTGATCCGTCTGATTCACCGATAACGCACGGATTTCGTGAATGAGCGTGCGCAGTAAATTGTCGGTCATACTCGACTGCGGGGGTGGTATTTGGACAATTGTCCGCGCTCCGTCGCTAATCTCCGATTCGCTACGCTTTGGCGACAGCGAGAATGCGTTCTCGCGAGACTTGGCGTCTCTCCGCGGTTTTTCAGGCGGGGTCAGCTCCGGGCCGCGAAAAAAATCGGTCGCCGCGGCGGTGTTATTCGCGGGCGCTTCTCGCACATGCTCGTCAGCTGCTGGCCACGTGGCTATCGTAGGGATCAACGGAGCTGGCAGTCCGCTCGTCGGCGCGGGCTCAAGCTCTTTCGGTCTCGGCGTTGCCGCGCGTGAGGTGAATATTCGCCTACGCACTTCTCCGTTTCAAAACGAATTTAAGTTTAATTCAAATTTTTCATAGATGTAATGTAAATATTGGTGCACTTTGATGTCGAGATATTCAAGAATACACTAAAATTGGGTAAATCTTGACCATATTTGACATGGTCATCTGCTGTGCGTTTCACTATACTGCCAATTCCATCTGCCTGACTTTTGCTACGGCCTGCTACACTATAATTATAAAATATCTTTGTAATTTGTGGGTGGATTTTTGGAGAATACTGAGTTATCAAATAAAATAGAGATTTATTTTTATACTGGCTGCTAGGTCCATCACTCATTATATGTAGTGTAGTTATACCTTTTACTTTTTTCAGGAAATAATTGAACTTATTGATTAGGTGAGCGATAGCAGCATCATCATGCCGAAGACAATCAGTGGCAGAGGCAAACCCTTGGCATAAGGACTGCGAATAATAATAACCAGTATGAAGACACACTTGATCCCTTGCCGCACCAACTGAACAGATTGAATTTCAGTGAAGTACTTGCAATTGTAATTTTCACTAAAATCTATAATTAAAAGTACTTCATTGGCATTCAGATTTTCTCTCAAGGTTTTTTTGTATTCTGTACTGGTGAGAGATTTTAAACTCATGTTCCATGATTGGAAGAATATTTTCTTCAAAAGTCTTGACTAATTCACATATTTTTACAAAATACTCCATTTTCTGTGGTCTTTGCAACAGAATTTGTTTATTTGTCTAAAGATTAATTCTGCTTTCACTTACATTTTGCCAATGAAAATTAGTTTTTAGACATTGTCTCCCAGGTCAAGCTTTTGATTATCTGGTGACAAGAATTTTCTTTGATTAGTCCATGTTTGAATAAAACATTAATCATTAAAAGAAAATTCTCGTGGACCGTACAAGCACATGTATCTGTCAGTTACCTTGAGAGACACACAATTATATGGTCGACATTTGCAAAATATAGTGTAACTAACTTGCGTTTTCTTATTTTCACTTTTAAATTTATTGTGCAGATCTAACAAATTACCATTCAGGTAACGCATTGGGACCAACTCACCATTTTTATTCTTTTTGCAAAATTTTTTATTTGGATCAATTGTAGTATTTTCTAAAACGAAATTATTCATTGACTCTCTGATGGCAGCAAATTTACTTTTTTTTCTTCTGTAATATTTTCTGGAGTCTACTGAGCTACCAATATTGTTTGAAAAACGTGGTACTATGTTTTTTATAATGAGTGTATGACATTGATATCTTTTTATGACTTGTCCTCTCAGAAATTTGGCTATGCTATGCTTATATTTATAATTATTATTATTTCTATACTTTATCCGCATTTGATCCAAGAAAGCTTCACTTGCAATTTAAAAATGAACCAATGTATTTAAAAATTAATAATATTCACAACTATGATTAAAATATGTTAACTGATTTTTATAATAAATAATTACCAATTTTTTTCTTATCGTATTATAATTTTTGGGTATCTCAGACAAGAGATCATCAACGCGTGAAGCAATTGGATCAGAAGGTTTGGATGGACCCATACTGAGCCATTGTAGTCTTTTTGAGACACGATTTAATGTTGTTGTTAAGTTTGCATTTTAAATTTCAAGCTTCACATTTTATTGATAGCAACGAAGACGGTTATTTATAGCCCTCTGAATACCAACCCGTTTTTGTTTGCTGAGTGGTTGTTCGATTTCCGTTACATTTGAACTTTTTTCTTTTAAATTAGCTCGGTATTTCCTTTTTCGATTTCGTTCGTACTTTCTTTTTTGCCGCTGATCTCTATTTGATAATTCACTAATAGTTTTAATTTTCCCATGAGCTTTCCTCTATTGGTATCTTTCTCTCTCACGATAAGAATAATTTTCATATTCAACCGGGTCATCTTTTATTTTTTGTCTTCTTTCTCGCATTAATTCGCGATGTTTCTCTAATCGAATGTTTCGTTTTTCCTCTTTTTCATTCTAATAGTTGCATGGAAAATATATGGCCGATTTTCTGTGAAGTCGAATGGCCAAAAAATTTTTTTTTCTGAAAATATGAAAAACTTATTGTATTTGATGTCAGATTTGTCCAAAAAAAATTTTTTAGAAAAATTTGAGCCTTCTATGACACTTTTTCAGATGCCCAAAGTTGGCCATTTTAGCGTTTTTTGGAAATGCATGAAAAACCACTAATATTCAAATAATTCCTAGATTAAAGTAGAATGATTCAAAAGTAAAAGTGCCCAGCAACTTTTTTGTTGGAAATTGTCCAAATTTTCAGAAAAAAGTATGCCAAAGTGATTGGAGCCACCTAAAGGAGTATGAATGGGAAAACATGAAAAAAAACATAAAACAAGAAATCTAATCGAGTTCAAACCGGACTTTCATTTCCTAAACTATGTAAAAAGCTTCCTAAAGATGTCAACTACTGGCTGATAAAGTTTTGTAATGGATCTTAACGTTTAACGCAATGTGGACAACAATGTGGCGAAAAACGTGCAAAAAAGGTCTGAAAATGGCTGTTTTCGGTAATTTTAGGCATTTTAGGCCTAGTTTTGACTTTTTATAAATATTTCAACGATAAATTACGTTCTGTCGAACGTTCGTAAGTACTGGATGTGATAAAAGATAAATTTATCACGTTTCCATGAATTTGCGAGAAATCCGGACATTTGTCGGCTGAATCTACAAAGGTCCGGATTTCTAGAAAATTTTGAAATTATCTCGGATAATTTTTTCCGAACTACTTTATATATATTTCAACGACAAATTTCATTCTGTCGAACGTTCGTAAGTACTGTATGTGATAAAATATAAATTTATCACGTTTCGATGAGTTTTCGAGAAATCCGGACATTTGTCGGCTGAATAGATAACGTTGTACCGATTGAATCGTTCACTGGGACGTGAGTCAATCAATTTCGTATTTCGAAAAAATTTATTTTTCAAATTGGTTCAATACATGCGCGGCTCCGTCAGACGTGCCGAATGTAAATACTCTCGTTGATTCGAGTCGTGTCATCGGATTCCAATTGTGAAAACATGTACGCATTTACGAAAGTAACGGACGACGACGACGACGACGACGACGTCTCGCCCTATCGGTTGAAACGTTTTGCGGGGACGTATTTTGAAAATTTTTTTTTTTTGAAAAATTTATTTTTTAAGTTGGTTCAACACGTGCACGCTTGTAACCCACGAAGAAGTCCGACGCGGGTCGTTTGGGTGGACTTGAACAGGCAATATAATTCAAATCTTTAAATTTTTACAAAAAACAGTTAATTAGATTTTTAAAAAAATTAGTATGAAAGCAAAATATTTTTTTCTCGATTTTCGGGAAATTTTAATTATCAATTTAAAAAATAAATTTTTTAGAATATACACTGAATTCACACATGTCCCCGCAAAAAAATTCAACCCATAAAGCGAGACGTCGTATTTGTTGACGTCGTCGTCGTCGTAGTCGTCGTCGTCCGTCACTTTCGTTAATGCGTGCACATGTTTTCACAATTGGGATCCGATGACACGACTCGAATCGACGAGAGTTTTTACATTCGGCACGCCCGTCGGAGCCACGCATGTATTTAACCAATTTAAAAATAAAATTTTTCAAAAACTAATTTAATGTTTTAATGTTATTCCACATAAAATGGTACCACATAAAAGGGTCAAAACAAAAAGGTCAATACCGGTAGGGTCAAAACTATTAAAAGGTCAAAGACAAAAAGGTCACAATTATGAAAAGGTCAAAAACCAAAAAGGTCAGCTCGAAAAAAGTTCAAAAAAAAAAAAATAAAAATGTATAGTTCAGTGCGAACAAACATATGTGCGAACATATATATGGCCGATTCTCTGTGAAATCGAATGGCCAAAAAATTTTTTTTTCTGCAAATATGAAAAACTTGCTGTTCCCGATGTCAGAAATGTCCCCAAATTTTATTAGAATTTTTGGGACCGTCTATCACTCTTTTTCAGAGGCCCGAAGTTGGCCATTTTAGGGTTTTTTTGAAATTCATGAAAAATCACTAATATTAAAATAATTCCTGGATCAGGGTAGAATGATTCAAAAGTAAAAGTGCCCAGCAACTTTTTTGTTGGAAATTGTCCAAATTTTCAGAAAAAAAATATGCCAAAGTGATTGGAGCCACCCAAAGAGAGCATAGTGGGAAAACATTAAAAAAAAAACATAAAACAAGAAATCTACTCGAGTTCGAACCGGACTTTCATTTCCTAAACTATGTAAAAAGCTTCCCAAAGATGTCAACTAATGCCTGATAAAGTTTTGTAATGGGTCTTAAAGTTTAACGCAATGTAGACAACAATGTGTGGCGAAAAACATGCAAAAAAGGCCTGAAAATGGCTGTTTTTGGTGATTTTAGGCATTTTGGGCCTATTTTTGACCTTTTTTGCATGTTTTTCGCCACACATTGTTGTCTACATTGCGTTAAACTTTAAGACCCATTACAAAACTTTATCAGGCAGTAGTTGACATCTTTGGGAAGCTTTTTACATAGTTTAGGAAATGAAAGTCCGGTTCGAACTCGATTAGATTTCATCATTTATGTCCCTTTGGCAGTTTTTTTGCTTTACACTTACCTAGATTGTTCCAATCACTTTGGCATATTTTTTTTCTGAAAATTTGGACAATTTCCAACAAAAAAGTTGCTGGGCACTTTTACTTTTG